TGCTGGAGCCAGTGTTCTGATCATTACAGTTGAGAACGCTTCAGACAAAATAATCTGGGGCAAAAGATCTCATTTAGAAAAATGTAGTAAATGAAGCAGTAGAGGTAAGGCGAGACGAAAGGTATTAATATAGGAAGTGATAAACAAGCCAAGACAGAAAGGAATAGCAAGTACACCAGCTAGAGTAAATCGAGAAAAAGATATGAAGCAATAAAAAGACTAATCTAAAGACTCTGCCAATATGACTGCACATAGCATTTGGGGGGAAAAAAACAAATGGACTGATGGAACACATAGAAATAAGTAAGTACAGAGATACAGCTGCAGGATAATATGGATTGGAACTTGAATATGAAACGATACAAAGCATTTTGGAGGGTAAGGAAACATTGAAATGTTGGCGGGGTGGCTCTGTTAACTAATGATGGTATTAGAGGCATAATAGAGAAGGATGACCTAAATTCAGGAATGTTAATGATAAAGGCAAGAAGTCAGTTATCAGAGTGGTGTAAAGTCCCCCTTGTAGTAACTAGGTTGTAGGATGAAGTATAACGAATGAATTAATGAGAACTTGTCAGAAAGATGCAACGATAATCACGGGAGATTTTAATGTCCAGTAAGCTAGAAAATCAGGTAGTCAAAGGTAGCTTAAATAAGGAATTGATCAAATATTTTTGGGACAGTTTGTTAGGACAATACATTCCGGAGCCAACCGGATGGCAGGCTGCGCTAATCCACTGGTATTCTGTAACAAGATAAGATCAAGTAATAACCTCATCGTGAAGGTGCTCCTGGACTAATATGATTGAATTTTACATTCAGTTTAAGGGAGAGAAGAGTGGGTCCCAGTATTTACAACTTAAATAAGGGCAATTAAAAGAGCATTCAAAACCAAGCTAGCTAAACTGGACTGATACATTAGGTTCTGAGGTAGACTGTTAGAGATTCAGTGGTAGACTTTCAGAGGGATACTTCAGAATACATGGAATAGATGCATTCCAATGAGAAACTAAAATTGTAAGGTGGTGGGGTGAGGAGTCGGAATCCTCCATCTATAGGAAAATAAAATGTTTAAGTTAGTATCAGACTTAAAGATGAAGTATTTAGTTATGCAAAGGTGGATGGCAGACCAGAAGATCAGACTGAATATGACAAAACTGCAAAGAATAAACAGAAAATTAATAATTATTACTAACACGTTAGTGTACATAAAATGTTACGTAGAAATGTAAAAACAGGTGGTATGAGTTATTGTGATGAAGCTTCACGATATGTTCACATTATTACTTGGAAGTTCGAGTTTTGAAGTGGATAGCTTTAAAATTCATTGTTATTTCTATGCTGCATGTTTTACGAAGAATAGGCATAGTTTTAATTTCATTTTTGACTTCTATGAATTGTCACAGGTCGTCTCGAGATTTGTTTGCATGCATTTGAAGGCATTTGTTTGCATTGTTTAAACTCTTGAGATGAATGATCCAGTGCCTTAGAAACAAGGGGTGGATGAGAGAAAAATAATTGAGCTACTCTCTCACAAAAATGTGAGCTATGACATAGAGAGGTAGAGATAGAACCAGTGTTTTTAGATTGACAGAACCATCTAGAAGGATATTGAGTGTGAAGGTTTCTTTCAGAGAGAAAAGTAGGTCATTTCAGAGAAAAGAAACGACAATAGCTGCAGCATTCTCAGAAAGTATCCAGTAAGATCGTAGAAGTGTGAAGTGGCTTAGTGCCAATGATGGGAAATCTCCACAAATGGAATGCTGTGGAAAAGGAGTTTAAGGAACTCGTGTTAGGAGAAAGTGAGTTTGTGCTAGCAGTTCGTTTGATGATTGCAGGAAGAAATATTATTGTATTATTATGATATTCAGTTTTTTGGTGCAACAAGTACAGTTTTGGCATTAAGATACATCTATGGTGTATGCGAGCATCTTGGTGGTAATGGCCATTCTGGATGCAGTTTTGCTGAGGACATTAGTGCGTACACAATTCCATGTGCTGGAATTATGTAGAGCATGCAGATTTGTGTGTAAAGCTGGTTAACATTTCGGAGTTCACTGTTTCATCCCCATACAGCTGACCCTGTATTCAACAACAGTAAGCACCTTCACCACCAACACCACTTAAAGGTTAGATGCTGACTGTACAAGTGTTCATTGGCCTCCAGTGTCTGCTTATGTCTGCAGCGAGTGAGGTGGCCAGGGCTAAAGGACTTTGCCTGAAGGATTCTCGTACACTTAATTTACTCCCTGCCATGTGAATTGTAAGATGCATTCCTGAGACTAGCAGAATGAGCTGTGGGGACACAGAGGTTGACATGCCATTGGAAGAGAAAGATGGAGGTCGTTTTCAGTCAGGACACTCGAGAAGTGATTGTCCTGCATGAATCCCCTTAGGGAACAAAAGATGAAATGTCTACAGTTCACAAAGTTTCTCCATACTTAAATCTGCCACGAGAACCACACATACAAACTAAAAGCAGAGCATGGGCAATATTGCCAGCACACGTGAAGATGACGTCAGCCATGGGCTTTTTCGTATCTAGCACCTTCCTGATAGCAGTTGTCAATCTTAATATTTCCCGTATCGTATGCAGGAAGTCACCGATGTTCTGTATTCTGAGAGCGGTGCACATAGTTCCTTCCTTCCTTGTGGTTCCACATTGCCCATGTCAGAATCCCACTGAGTGCATGCGTCCTGCTGTGTGGGTGCTACTTGTTATAGCTGATGTGTTTCACACCAACAGGGACTCTCCTCCCTCAAATTTGATCTGATGTGTCAATGTAGGTGGTGAAACATACAAGACAGTGTCAGAGTCCTTGCTGCAGCTCTGATGCTTTCATTCTGCATTTCATTTGCCATAATACAACAAAGGTGCCTAGGCGATGACGGGGCTATTTATTAACAACTTTGCTCCTAGCTCTGGTGTACAGACCAGAAACATGTTGATTGCATTCATAAAATTCAAGCACGCTCCCCTTGTTTACAAAGATTCTCTCATGGATATGGCAGTCACTGGCTGGGTTCAGCATTTATTGCCCATCCCTAGCTGCCCTCGAGTCGGTGGTGGTGGTGGACTGCCTTTTTGAACCACTGCAGTCCGTGTGGGTTGACCCACACGGGAGGGAGGGAGTTCCAGGATTTTGACTCACTGAAGGAACTTTGATATATTTCCAAGTCAGGATGGTGAGTGGCTTGGAGAGGAACTTGCAGGTGGCCCTATTCCCATGTGTCAGCTTCCCTTATCCTTCCAGATGGTGGTGGTCATAGATTTGGAAGGTGCTATCAAAGGTGTTTTGGTGAATTTCTGTGGTTTACCATGGCGCTGGTCCACACTGCTGTGACTATGCATTGGTGGTGGAAGGAGTGAATGTTTGTGGATAGGGTGCCAATCAAGGGGGCTACTTTGTCCTGGCTAGTACCAAGTTTCTTGAGTGTTGGAGCTCCATCCATACAGGCAAATGGAGAGTATTCCATCCCAATCCTGACTTGTGCCTTGTAGATGATGCGTAGGCTTTGGAGAGTCTAGAGGAAGGGTACACACTGCAAGGTACCTAGCTAATGACCTATCCTTGCTGATTCAATGGTAATGCCACTAAATCTCAAGCAACAGTGGTGAGATTCTCTTTTGTTGGAGATGGTCACGCCCCGCACTTGAGTGGCTTAAAAGTATACTGCCCACTTGTCAGGCCAAGCCTGGACATTTTCTAGCTCTGGATGTAGACTGCTTCATTATCTCAGGAGCTGTGACTGTTGGGAAACATTATGCAATCATCAGCAAACATTCACACTTCCGACCCTTAGGATGGATGGAAGGTCAACAAAATGTGAAAGAATAGTCCACAGGAGCTTTATAATAAATAGTTGGAGAGATGTGTTGAACACAACCTTCAATTATACTTAAAAAAAACTCTTGATACTGTAGAGAGCCTTCCTGTCATGGCAAATCTGGAGAGTAAACCTACAATGAAGATGCTTAGCAAAGGTGTTTATTCACTTGCCATTGACAAAGCTCCATGTGTTGGTCGTGTGCGCTTCTTTGAAATTTACTGTTTGCAGGAAAGGTGAAAAAAATAACAGTATCGAATGCAAGCAGTTAGTTTTGGAAACTTGGAAACTGGTCAATGTATAATTTATGAGAGGAAAAGCAGCATCACGCACTTAAGGTGAAATTCACAACAGATAAGGTCATGGAGGGCAGTAGGACATCATCCTAGATTTGGAAGTTTTGTATTTCCTGAAATATTACCTTCTGCAACAAAAAATTGTGATGAGCTAATGACACTGCATTACCATGTTTCTCATACCAACAGTCTTGTTTGTGGTTTGACCTTATTGCAACTTGAAATTGAGATACACAATGACCCGCAACTTGCTGGTGCGATAGCACTCGGCTGGCCGGAGTGTAAACTTTGCCAGAGACACATCTTGTCTTTGGCTGTAAGTGGGTACTGTTGATACAGCAGAATGAAAAGATTGTAAATGTTGTTTCAGTTGTATTGGTTGATTAAGTATTTTCACACATATGTAAAAGGCACTGCTGGGATGCTGATGTGGTCGGTCGGTAGGAGGAAGAGTTGCATAAAACTGCATCTGTGAATAAACTACTGTCAAGAAAAGGATTTGTCTTGAGATTTAAACTTTACCATGTGGCTTGAAATCTTTGTAACAGGATTGCACAGTCCCAAAAATAAGCATGAGTGAATTGTAATTTCTAAATAGTTGCCATTTATTTTGTGGCCCAGTGCTGTGGAATTGACCAAACAGTGTGAAAGAGTGGCTTTCACTGCATGGCCAGCCCTGCTTAAATATCTATTGAAATGATTTTTAAAAAAGGCAACACACACAATTGTAAATTCCCCGAAAGTCCTCAAGCTCAGGTTCTTTGATCGCTGAAAAGATACCTTTCAAAGAGCAATGTTGCTTCTTTTCCAAAGGAATGGGAATACTTGATGCTTTTAAACAAATGGGACTCTCAACATTTCCTTTCCTTCCCTTAGGAAATCGACAGTCCAATCTTGACAGAAATCTCCAGTCTGGTTTTGTTCGCTGCTGTGTGGAGGTAAGCCTGGATTTTATCAACCCAGAACCTGTCTAAGACGGTGAATTGGGAATATAAACATACACCATTGTCCAAGGTCACATGTAATTTATGGTGAATGTTTTACTTGTGACTCTGCATTATTTTCGAATGATCAAGTATTGCTGTAAGACATTGAAATCAAATGAAAAAGTGACATCTTGTAAAAGAGTTGAAAGTCGGAGGCAGTATTATTCTTTTGGTAAAAGTATCGCCCCAGATCGTAGGACAGTAACTTGCAACTAAACAATCTGTGTTCCAAGTGAGAACAGTTATTTTAAGTTTTCTGGTAGATCATCTTCACTGTTGAATTTGTTTTCTTCTGAAATATTGCCAATTGTGCAGAAATAGATATATAAATAGAAATGATTTGCGCAGAAGATTTAGCAGTGCATTATATCTCCCAGGCAAATTACTGGATGTGTTGCTTTTCAAACAAAGCAAAGCCCATTCTTGATACATGGCATATCTGCTTATTGAATTGTACAAGCCGCAAATGGAATTCTCTACACATTATCTCCAAGACGATCTGATGGACATTTATTCACAGTCAGTTAGATTTCATTGCGTAACTATATTTCAATAGAAGTCTGCTGCAATTTATATTTTTGGTTAATTTAATTTTTTTTTATTTGTTCATGGGATGTGAGCTTCACTAGCTGGGCCAGCATTTTTTTTCTGCCTGCCCTTAATTGCCTTTGAAGATTGTGATGGACTTGCCTCTTGAACTGTTGTACTCTCTGTGGTATAGACATGCTGTCAATGCTTTTAAGGAGAAAGTTCCAGGCTTTTCACCCAGCGACCGCAAGGAGCGTGGATGCTTCCATATCAGATGGAAAATTCAAGGGGGTGATGTTCTTGCATATCTGCTGCCCTTTTACTTCAGAGATTGCAGGTTTTAAAGCTATTGTCAAAGGAGCCACAGAGACTGAGTGACTTGTTGCAGTTTATTTTTTGTAGATGATATGTATTTCTTCTACTGCATTTTGGTGGTGGAAGTGAATATTGAAGGAGGTGAATGCAACAATGATCAAGGAGGTTTCTTGTTTGTGAGCAATGACATAAGAATAATACACATCTTTTGATATCCAGTATTAGGATCCATGCATGGTAGTGGAATATATTATTGAAATCAGGTGTAGCTTTCTGAGATGTTAAACTTTGTTTGTTTCAGCCTAACATAGTAATTCCAATCTTGTAACAGCTCTAAATGCTCAGTCACTATGGACATAGTCCCAGGTTCCCTATACTGGCAATGTAGACCTTGTTTTATGTTCTCATTGAATTTGTTAAATACTGACAATTTATGAATGAATGATTTACTGTCACGTATATCTTGAAGTGAAAAGTGTTTTGTTGCCACAGTCCAGCACCATTTTGAATTACAATAAGGATAAAAAGAGATTACTAAATCAGAGTTCATCTTCTGTTCAAATTGGGGTGTCAAGCACAGCTTCGGGGCTTCTGCAAGATCTATGCAAGGTAGGTCTCAAGGATTCGCGTTCCATGAACAGCAACAATGTTGCCAATGCCCCAGCTCTGCTGCTGCTGCCATCTCAGCACTACCATCAAGAGTCTATGCTCCGGGCCTACTGCTGCCAGGACTCCAAGCTCCAAGCACCACCACTGTCGTCAGAAGTCCCAATCTATTCCACAGCCACCACTGTGCCATCACTGATCTAGCAGCAAAGATGATGAAGAAAAAAGGGAGAAGAAAAAGAAAAAAAAAAGTACGGAGAAAACAATGCTGTCAGCCTGGAGTGAACAAGCTCCGATGATTTGCACTGTACCATCGTCACTGCGGGGACTCGGAACATTAACAACTGGTATGAGATTGTGCAAAGTCAGATTGGATCACTGTGTCTTGCAGTGACCAGGAATGGTTGTCTCCATGTCAGCCCTGAACTGGATTCCAAGCCAGGCAAGAAGTTAGGATGCAAAGCAAAATCTACTCCTCGGGCACACACTTTCAGAAAATGTGTTGGCCTCGAATGCCAAATGATGCAAAAGTATCAGAACACCTTTTATCAATTTTGTCAGCCTCTGCATTTATAATTCTCAATCTGTGCATGGATGTAAGCTAAGGAAGTAAGCCTGGGTCCCGTGCTAATTATGTACAAAAGGATCAAGCTCCCCTTCATTGGGTCAGAGTGAATTTTTGTTTGTTTTTTGTGATGTTAGTTATTTGTTAGATGTTAACTATGCCTGAGTGGTAGCACTGTTGCTGCTGAGTTACATGGTTGTAGTTACATGAGTTACAAGCTTCCATTCCAGAGATATGAAAACAACATCTCGGCTGATTTACCAGTGCCTTGTCATGGGAGGTCAAACTCGGGCTCTTTCTGCACTCTCTGGCGAATACAAAAGATTTCATGCACTATTTTGAAATGGAGTATGAGAGTCCTTGGCAATATTCATCTCGCAACCAATATCACTAAAACATGCACAAATTACCTGCCGCATATGCTATGAGCATGACTACTTGACACAAAGTATTTCCTTAGCTTAAAGCATTTAGGATGTCGTAAGGTCATGAAAAGTTTCAATAAATGTCAACTTTCTTTTCCATTTAAGATTTAAGACCGTGGTCAGCTATTGCTATTTTACTCTGTTTTGACTTTATATTATCAGAAAATAAACTGCTATGCAATAACACATCCCAATGGGTGTTGGTTCAGTTGATTCTCGAGCCTTTTTGGTGCTCTTGGGGGCAAGATTTAAATTGGAGCAGTTCAGCCCAGGGCACTGCCTTCAGCCTTTTGATATAATGTCACTTCAACTTGAAAGTCATTTTTATCCAGAAGCGTCACTTCTTGTTGTTTTTATATAATCCAAATGAACTTGTGGCATTTGGAAGAAATGTCTCTGGAGAGCACTAATTGCTGTGCTTTGCATCACCAATATATCAGCAAGCTTAAATAAATGCCCAAAGCAGTTTCTCCTGTTTTAGAAACCAATGTGAACAAATAGGACATATTTCTAATTCTGTCTGCATTAAAAAATAATATTCCAAGGTGCCCGTGTCTCCTTCAAAGCAGCTGTTAGTGCTGAATGACTACCTTTGACATAAGGTCTTCGTTTCCTTTCATACTGTGCTATATGGAGCTTGTAATATTGTCACAACAACTATAACCTCTCTTGAGCCTGCCGAAAGCATCATACGTGAAACTGCCAAGCGGTGTGTAACCGTTGGTGTTCCTCCACAGCACAGAGGTGTGATTGACAAAAATAATATTGTGAGATACATCTGCTTCTTTTAGAGATTAGTGTCCAGCAGAGGTAATGCATGGAGACAGTGAAGAAAATGGTCTCCTTCCACACAGAAGTGGAGCCTTCCCATGTTAATACAGAGATGCTATTGCAGGAGCCGAGAAACAGCAGCAGTTTGAGAAAACAGAAGCCCGTACCTATTAATGCTCAAAGACCAAATAACTGTAGAAATTGCCAAGACTTTGCAATACGCTAGAAACTGAGTTCAGCTATTACTTTTGTATTTGTTGCAGTCAAAATCATTCGTGATGTTGTTGTCAAATTTACTTTTGGAATTTCCATCAGATTTGCAGTTAAAGACCATAAGATAGAGGAGCAGAAGTTGGCCATTCAGCCCATCAAGTCTTTTTGGTCATTCAGTGTGATTGTGGCTGATCTGATAACCCTCATCCACTTTCCTCCCTTTCCCCACAATCATTGACACCCTTACTGATTAAAATTCTGTCCATATTGGCCTTTGAGAACGACCCAGCTTCCACAACCCTCTGAGGAAGGAATTCCACAAATTCACTACCCTCTGAGCGAAGAAATTCCTCCTCATCTCTGTCTTAAAAGTACAGTTCCTTATTCTGAGATTATGCCGTCTGGTGTCCCCAACAAGGGCGAAAAAGCTGTCAAGTCTTGGAAGAAACTTGCTTGTTTCAATAAGGTTGCCCACAAGAGCATTGACTGCAGATCGCTTGACTCTTAACTGTCAAGGTATTGCCATGGAGAGATCAACAGAGACTTCGAGGCTCCCACATTCCCATTTAATTCAGAAAACAAATTGCAAGTCTTGAACAAGTTGTACTCTGTGAACAAAAGCAGAAAAAAATGATGGGCCTGTCGTTCACTTGCTTTCATCTTGATGTGGTGCCTCAAATAATGAGAATTCACCACCAAGATTTTTTGTTCAGTCACATAATTTGTTGCAATGGCTTGCAATTTTCCACTCTTGGATTTGTCCTGAAGATCTTCAAGAAGGTTCATGTTCCCAGTTACTATCAAGTAGGATACGTCATCAAACACTTCTGCCTCTCTTCCGAGTCTGCCTGACTTCACACAGAAAAATCTGCAAGACCATTCCTGGCAGTTGATAATTTGGATGGTAGGAGAAACATTAAGGTATAAACCGTAGTTGAACCTGCCCATAGAGGGCGTTGCTGCTCCCCTTTCCTGCATTGATGCTTTGAACAATTCAGAGGCATCTCTATCCATTGCTTTCCTTTAAAGTTTGTGTGCAAATAAGAACAAAAATATCCACCCGAATGGAAGACTGATGAAGAAATTTTAAACTCATTTATTTTAAGGCTAGTGGATGTTTTAGTTTGTTTTTAATCTCTTGCATTTAAGGTGATGCTGTTTCGATCCTATGGAAGTGATACAGTCAGGTCATGTAGCGTTCATCAAGGCGTAATAGAATTTCACAAATGTTTATTGACCTTCAGTTTAACTTAGCTGCAGGAAAAATTTTAGCCACATGTTTTAAAAAAATGCAGTGGATAGAAAGCAGTTTAAAAGTCAAAGAGCTGACATCTTTGTCTTGAGCAGTAAGGTGATACCTGATGGGCAAAAGAGGTGACAGAAGCAAGTAATAGGCATCCCCTTTGGTGAAGCAGCATTGACATTCAGTCCTTGCAGTCAGATAGAAATGGAAAGAAAAAAATGAAGAACTGCAAATGCTAGAAATCAGAAATAAAAACAGAACTTGCTGGAAAAACTCAGCAGGTCTG